GAGTCGTGAACATTATAGTAGATCGCGAATTACTGGGAGAGCGTCAACCGGAGTATGGCAAATAATATCGGAAATGATAACATTTGGAACTGTGTAATGGAATTTGATCTCTGACGGTTTTTCCGCTTGTGTGTGATGAAGCTCTGCCTCGCTTGCATTGAGCACTCTCCGCAGTTTGAGACCATTCCCTTGTGTACATACCTACAACCCAAGTTCTCTGTTTCTTCAGTCACGGAAACAATCCACCCAAACTGTGCTCAACGAGCCTGAAGAAGCCCTACTGATATTACACAGATGGCAGAGGACGATATGGACGCTGCATTATCAATGAGAGGTGTTTTCAGACCCGTCGACATCCGGAAGGAATGGTAGGGCCAGGAAATTGGGATTACCCAGTGGAGTTGGAGAGTGTATGGTGACCAGAGCAAGTTCTTTCTGGCTGCATGGTGAGAATCGAGAGGTAATGAGTCAGCCAGCCGCCGGGAGAGGAAGCCTCTCCACGAACACTACAATTATTTCCTGAAGTTCTGAGTCTCACCACAGTCTGCTCCTACACTAGTGATCACGTTGTGCACGTGTTGGGTCTTTGCGATGTACATGTACATGATTGTACATGTAAGCGCTAGGGGTGTGCGGATTATGCTCGCACGCAACCGATATTATGCTTTCGGGCATTTCCCGCGGAACTTCGAAAGTATGCTCCCGAAACATCGAAAAAATTCTCCAGAATTCCCCCCCCCCCCCCCAAAAAGAACCCCAGCACGAACCGTGCCTTGCGCATTCTCTTCAGTATGCAAAATGGACGGTCAGGCCCGTGATCACTGCATGCAGGATCTACACTACATAATTATACTAGATCTACATCTGACTGTACAAAGCTACTATGTGAGTGTAGCGACCTGACTCACTCAATTACGTCATTCTACAAACGCATGCGCAAGAAATAAAATCATACTTTTTGGTCACAACTTCTTCGTTGTCCGGTTGGCCAAAGTAGCCGTCGTCTAGGGCCCGACGTAAAACCCTAAATTGGTGACCCCTGACGCTGCGCTCTTCGGAGTTTTGAGCATGCCATCCCTGAGCTCGGCCCGCCGCAGTTTCCTGCTCGCCTCAACTCTCGGGATCCCGTCAATCGCCGGCTGTTGACGTAAAACTTGAGCCTCACCACCACTCGTCACTGGATCCGCCTCGGAGCTGCTGTGGCCCCTGCCACCCTCCCCGGCCCACCTGGATACCCCGCTATCCTGCCACGGCATTGTCCAGTCGTCCGTATTCGTCCTGGCCTCAAGCTGGAAATTGGCCACCTCCACCATCCGTACCAGCCCAACTGTGCACGCACGCAGGCACACGCCCGGCACCGGACCCCATGGAGCTGCGCTCGCCTCCATCTGTCCCCGCCTCACTCGGCATGCCTCGCATCAGTGCAGCGCTCCTGCTGGTATCCCGCCAAGCCTGCAACATGCAGCCGCCTCTGACATGATAACACTCCTCTGTCACGCGTACGTTTCCTCTTTTCTTTCTTTCTGCCTCTGACATGCTCTCCACCTCTGTCACGTTAACACACCTCTGACACCTTAACCCGCCTCTGTCATGCATCTCTCTCATTAGGGAGGTTCTGCTATACGTGAAACGTAGAGAAATCACGTAGAGAGCAGGTGTCTGGGTTAGAGTCTACGGCTTCACGTGTTTTGGCTCCAGATTTCTACGCGGAGATGGGGTTCTCTACGTTGTGGCACACGCAGAGAAAATGCGTACGGATTTGTTGGGTATCGATCAACTGCATGCAGAACATTGCCAAATATGGAAGGGGAAATTCCCAGTATACATTCCACGTGACTTCTCTAGGTGAAACGTAGAGCAGAACAGCATTTCTTTAAGTTACGGGAACGCGAAGAAAGTTCGCGTGATTCTTTGCGTCGCGTTCCCAAAACGTAGAGCAGAACCTCCCTATTTCCGCTTTCTGCATTTTTGATTTTGTTTCGGCCTTTGTTGCCACGTCTCAAACAAATTTCATACACGCAGCGCTCTCGCCTGTACATATGTTGTATCATATTATTATATTTTTGCCGTTCCGCCTTGTACATGCTGCGCTTTTCTTTCTCTTCTCTTTCTTGTTTTTTGTTTATCGTGCTTCGCTCCTCCCGACCTCACCACTGGCGGGGGAGTACTGTAGCGACCTGACTCACTCAATTACGTCATTCTACAAACGCATGCGCAAGAAATAAAATCATTCTTTTTGGTCACAACTTCTTCGTTGTCCGGTTGGCCAAAGTAGCCGTCGTCTAGGGCCCGACGTAAAACCCTAAATGAGTATGGCGTGTCCGGGTATTGCTGCATGTACATGTACGTGCGTCCATGGATGCGCAATTGTTCTCTGGCAGGTCCAAATTGACAGAATTCCCCCAAAACTCTTCTGAAGGCCAATGGATCTGGAAAAGATCGATAGAATTCCCCTAAAATTCCCAAAATTTTCTCGACGATAGTACATGTATTCCCAAATTATTCCGGGAATAATCCGCGCACCCCTAGTAAGCGCACCGCTCAGTGGCCGGATTTCAGTTGCCAGCACTGTAGTATTGGGAAATTAGAGGCCACATGCCACGTACTGCTCTTTTCTCTCCGAAACTCAACACTTGCAAGCCAGATATGAAAGAAAAAAAAAGATTTCATATCTGGCTTGCAAGTGTTGAGTTTCGGAGAGAAAAGAGCAGTACGTGGCATGTGGCCTCTAATTTCCCAATACTTTAAATTTCTCCGTGAAGTCCAAATTTGAAATAGCACTGTAGTACCTAACATTAAATTTTAGTAACACGCTCATCAGACACCTGTGAACGTGAACATGTACCAGTCGGCTAGCCAGCACATAGCGCATCCTGCCGGCTATGATTCTGAGGAGAATGGACGTTCACGCAGATTGCAAGGACACGGAAAGTACATGTACATGTACATGTATGTCAGCGAACAGGTGTATGATTGTTGAGAACATTGTGCAAGGCTGTGCTTTTAGTGAAAAGCTAGTCCAATCTCAAATAGTAACTACAAGTACATGTACATGCAGGACTGAATGGAACAGAGTGCACATAGCAGTTCCGTCAAAGATTTGACTGCCCAACATTGGTATTGTTGTTACCGAAAAGCAACTCCAGAAAGTCCCTTTGCCAATGTTTACTTACTCATACAGTAGTCACATACTAGTACTCATACCCGTGACGCGCAACATATTTTATACTGTTACGTGTACATGAACAGAGTACATGGTATGTGCATGGTATGTGCATGGTATGTACAGGGTGTGTGCATGGTATACATGTACATTGTAACTAATACAGTTACAAAAATGGATAGTACAATACGATCATAGTCGAGAGAGAGAGTTAAATTTATTGTTATTGTGTGCACTTGAGAGCACCCATATCCTGCTCTTGCAGCTGGAGCGATTTTTTTTTTAAAATTTCGGCCAGTCGGCTACTATCTTTTTCGTCTTGGGGGTTAGACAAGGGGAAGTAGCCATGTCGGGGCGTGAGCCCGCCTTTCGGCACCGGGAGTTGCAGCTCGCTCGACTTGACTCTACTGAGTGCAGAGGACCCACACCTTGATCTGGTGAGCTGCGTCGTGGGGATTTTGCAGTCAGATGTGCGACTGCGGGGCTCGAACCCGCGACCTCTCGGGTCGCAGGCAAGTGCAGTACTCAATGTACTACCTGGGAGCCCCGCGAATAAAACGGTTGTCAATAATCAGCTCATTTGACATCTTCTGGGTACTAAGATTCTACTAGTGTTGTATTCACTATTCACTAGTACACCAAGGCAAACACCTACGATCTACATGTACAAGTACATGATTGTACATGTATCTGGGAGATCTCCTACATGTAGCTGTGTACATGTACATGTATGTGTATTGATCATGAGACCATTGTCAGATAGTGTGGTGTGCACTGTGCAGAGCTGTATTTCTGCGGCCGCACAACACAGTGCTATGCATCCAAAAGGGAATGAAAGCACATTATTGTAAGAAAGCACATACATGTACATGTACATGTACACGTACACAGTATGAAACGGGTCAGACTGTTGTCAAAATGAATAATTTTACCATGGTTGGCTATCACCCGCATCTTCCCGTTTTGGCTGCCATTGGAAGCCATAAAGATGTTGAATAAATAAATAATAGATTGTCGCTCTCATCCCGGGTTTGAGACCATTTTTATAATAGCAATAAATTGCCAATAATTGTGAGCGCGGAGGTCTTAACTTTAGGTTGCCTTTCGTGTGCTCCTCCGTGGCAGTCCAGGGGTGTGCACGTACATGTACACACCGAGCAAGCGAATTCCTCGGTCAGATCCAGTACTTTGTAGTGTACCGATTAGCGTCTACGAGCCAAGCTCACTGCGCGAAGAACACCACTAGACACCTGCGCGTAGCTTGCACACACATTGCAGTATTGCTTCAGGGTGTTGGTTTACAACTCCTTGCACGCCGACCTCGCCTCACCTATCGGCATCTACAGTAAGTTTACGATAATGCGATTGTCGGATTGAATCTGACCGCGTGTCGTTGCACGCGCGGTGGCTTTAGGACGTAGAGAGATACAAGGAATGCAGCTATAAAGTGTAGCTGGAGACGGAAGAGATGCAGCTTCCTCTATAATTTCCCTATCTCAAAATATTGTCACCGAACCGCGTTGTTTTTCGCGTCACCCTCAGGCTCTTCCTCCTCGTGTGAACACCACACACTCTAGTGAGGTCGGGGATCAAACGCTCGGCGCGTGTGTCAAGCCCCAGGGTTTTCGCCATTGCTTCTGGCCTGAGATAGGAGCGACCGTGTTTCTTCAGCAACACTTTCACAGACCTCCTCGGGTAGCTTTGTACGTGCAAGCACAGCGCATGCGGTGGAGCCCAGGTACTAGGTCTTGTCCAAAGAAATACATGGTACAAGAACTCTGGTACTAAGCCAGATCGAGAACGCGAACCTCGTGTAACTGTTGGTCAAGTCTCGAGTACAGAACCACGCGATGCTATTACCTGTGAAATGACTACAGAATGCACGTAACGTTGTTCAAATCACATGCAAACGCAGGGCCAAGGCGGTTTCCTTTTTCCACACCCATACACGTTCCGAGGGGATTTCACCACAGACTAAGCACTAGTATGTTTCACGAATCGCGTCGGTTGCTGCCCTGTGTCTCCCTACTTGGTTGACGGTGCAAGGAGACTGCTACCGTGAAAGCATGAAGTTAGCCAAGTTAGAGTGCTATTTCACTGAAACTCTAGCCATCAGAGTTTGGCGATTATTCTGATCACCGTGTAGACTCATAACATTCTGATGATGTAGCACAGTCAGCTGTGAACCGAGATTGGAAGAGACGTCAATGCGAGGGTCATAATCACTGCTGTACGGTTTGAGTGAATCACAAGAGTTGCTGTCGACATCCGTTGTGATGCTGGAGGAGTGTGGAATGGCTCTCATCCCAGTGCTGCCCACAGATCGTCACGGTATTCCTCTCCACAAGCCCATAGGTGGACGCGCAGCAATGTTCCTGGTACTAACCTTTCTGGTCATCCTGGTACCGTTGGTGACAGCGCAGACAGTACAATGTCCACCGGCAAGTAAGTATGTACACGCGGCGTATGTCGTAGGCAGGTTTGGTGTCGGCATAACGTCTATGTCACTCAAACTGTCCACCACTAGTACTAGACTTGCTTGTTGCATACTGACTGGTGTGTGCCTGCTTACCTATGGTGCGGAACTGGGAAATTGAGTGGCGAGACAGTGGAAAGTTGCGAGAGATGTGCCACTCTCACTCTACTGTGTTACATGTACATGTATATCCTGCTGATGAAAATGTTGACAATGTCACAGCACGTCTCCTTTCCGGTCCTTCAAACTAAGGAAATACATTATACGCCATTGCAGTCGTGCTTGTCAGCCTGCTCCTAGCAAACTGCACGTAGAAACATACTGCGTGGACGAGGGATTGGGTCAACAAAATCACAGTGATGATAATAATAACCCACATTGTCGCTACATGTACATCCAGGGGAGAGGGGAGAGGAATATTGAAAGCACAAATCACAAAATACAAATCCAAATGCCAGGGTAGAAAAGGCCCAGAGGTAAAACAAAAAACGAGGCTTATCAGGACAAAGCGCCTTTGACTTCGGACATATTGATTGAGATGTCCTGGAGATGGTTCTACACGCAACAGTGACAACACACAGACTACATTGTAGGTTTGCACTCAGTAGTGGACTGCATATTGATTGTGGGATGGGGGTGGGGGGAGGGGATTATACTCTTTCTCAGCTGGATTCCCAATGCACGTTACCAGGCTGTGTTGGTCGGGCCACGTCCTATAGGTCACAGATGTTGTTGCATATGATTGTATTTTAGGTGGGATTCAATTTAAAACAGACATATGCCTACTAAGAATGGACCCATGTACATATCAAACTCAGCGGAGGACGTTCACGTTGGTTGCAACTCTCTGTTTCATGCCGCTAGGCAATCATCAGACAACTGATACTCGGATCTACCCAGCAGTATGCTTATAAACACATAGGGCCACAACAAGCATAAACAAATCATGCGTACATGTAGAGCTACGCCAACGATTACTACTTGTACTTGTTTTGTCCAATGGGCATGTGCCAGGGAGATAGGGACGTAATCAGTGCAGGCGAGTATGAGCTTATCACTTTGGTCATCTTTTGTATTTTCTTGACATGATTGTATCGGTTTATTAATTTTGCCCGTACAAGAGGCTTCGTGATGTTTAAAAAAGAAAAGAAAAAAAGTATGAGCTACATGTACATGTTAAAACATGCACGCGAGTAGTGCGTTGTTTTTCAGTGCTTTTCTACAATGTCAGCGCTCGTATTCGCGTTGCCATTCCACGCAGGGTTAGATGCTCATGTTATAACTTATACCACCATCTCAGTTTGTTTCAACTACATGTACATGTAGTTGTAGCATTGTAGCATAAAGCAGAGCGTGCGGTACATGTACATGGTACATGGTACCTTTAGTTATCTACGGCACTGCACTCTGCAGTGAACGTTTGCGCACCAGGTTAGGAAAATGTGTGTACTCTAGCCCAGTAGGCGATCCTCTCGCTATCTCAGTTCTTGCAGACCGAGTCCATAGAACTATAATTATTTCACCAACCATTGTACAGTGCTGGCAACTGAAATCTGACCCCCTTGGGGGTACTTTATCCAGTCCCATGTTGTTGTTGTTGTTGTTGTTGTTTCTTTATTTTACTTCACCATATGAACAGGCAAGACTGCCTTCTCACCGGGGCTATTGGCCCACGGCTCTCACAGTATGATGAAAATGTTTAAAATTTGTATGAAGAAGAAAGGAACGGAAAAGAAGATGAAATGAAAGGAAAGAAAACAGTAGGTATTAATTTTATGAAGGGGGGGGGTATGAAATGGGTATTATCATAGTTGATGAGGGAAGTATGATATCCAATATTCTTGTTCTATAGACTATTTAGTACGGGCATTTCATGAGAGTCATGCATGGGCAAGGCAGGATTTGGACTAGGATAGAGGACAAGAACATAATTGATGAGCATTTGTTCAGGCAGAATCTGTGAAGAAGACATAGTAGGCACAACATCGGAGAGCTAGTTGAGGAGGGAGATAAGGTCATAGCCAGACAGCAATGCTTGAAACGTGTGGCGTACGTGGCAAGCGCGAATATCAGCAGGGAGAGAGCATGTACGTTGCTTCTTTTTTTCGCCACATGTATGGGACTCAAGCTGAGTGTGATTTGAACCGCCTTTGTCACCCGACTGTCATCAGTCACGGGCCGTTTGTTGTGCTGTCCCACGGTGCTCAGTTTGGCCATGGTGTTTAACACAAAGCTTATCCAGTGAGGGTTTGGAGTTAGACGGCCCCGCAGACACCCGGAAATTATCACTGATATTGTATGCGAAACAGAGACAGGTAGTAACAGAAGGATTTACAGCTCCACCAGGGCAATAGTCCGCATGATCTTCCTTTCTTTAGGCGAACATTATCATTTTTATGGCTGTAATGACAGTGCTGGGTGCCCATGAAGAGTGGATTTCCCCCTAGAAGTTTATTCTTTGTTTTTTATGAAAGTGCACATTTAGGAGACTTGACTTCTCAACTCCAAAAACGGTTTCTTCACCGCGATTAAAATAAAAATTAAGACTTGCATTGCATCACATTTTCGGTCCTGGCCCATCATCAGGAGTAACCCAGCATGTCAGTGTGTGACTGATGGCGAAAGAGCAATCTTGGGTATTTTGCTCGATCGTCGTAATGGAATTCACCCCTGCGAGTGTTGTTGTTTTTTGTGCTACCACTCAGGCACTGGGACGGCGTGCGAGTGCACTGGCTCGAATCCCTGCAGCAACAATGGTGTATGCAGCGCCACAGATCAGAGTAGCTTCACATGCGACTGCACGGGAACGGGATTCGAAGGAGCGGTGTGCGACGAAGGTGAGCGGTGTCGGCTAGAGTTTATTCCACCGGTGTAACTTTTCCTAGCCTTCTTCTGCAACTCGTACATTATATTATGCGAGTTGCAGAAGAAATGTTTTTGTCTGTGTTATTTTGCCGTTGCATGGTGCACTCTGTCCCAGCTAGTGCATAGCGTAGTGCTTACCACAAAACCCTAGGCACTTCGTAAGTACAGTTTTCAAGAACTACTTTTCACGCAGAAGCTACCCTGAGGCAAAACTCGAACCCTGTTCAATTGGTATTTTGAAGTATTGTGTAGCATATGATATACATGGGGATATTAATTTCGGCATGGATAAAAAAATTAGTTGACGGCTAGACAAAGAGGAAAAAATCCTACAAGTGGTTTTGCTCTTGTTGGTGATAGCTGATTTTTGCTTCAGTACCTTTTCCATTTCCATTCCGTCTATAACAAATTAACGTCGAACTAATTCCGAAATTATTACTGCTGTGGGCCCTCCTGCAGAGGTGAGCCACCAAGCAAGAGACTATGGCAACGTCAGTTGACTTGTCCTTGTAGTGGATTGGACATAAACCACTTAAATATCAATGGATTCATGAATACGGCCGTACTTCACTGCGTTAGATTACATCCCAAAAGATAGAAATGAGGGGGGGGGGGGGAGGGGCAGTTTACCTCCGTGACACTGCCATTTGTATTTCGAGGATTCTTTTATAGCACTGCCATCCATTTCAAAGAGATTAATCTAATCGAAGAAGAGACCCCTGGACTGTTTCACTTCTCAGCACTGTTGCTTCTTTTCCATTGCTCATGATAATTACCTCCACACTCTAATTCCTATATCACAATGCCAAACGTATTTTACATGTAGATCTAGCTTCATTGTGTACTCCGCTGAGAGTTTGGCGGTAGTGATGTAAGGGCAATGACGATGATGCCACTACTGTCCTTTTGAACATCATGGTTGACGGTCCATCTGTGTTTGTTCCCACCTTACCACCCGGCAAATATTTAGATTTTGATAAAAACAATTCAAAGGCTCTCAATTATTTTGTAATACTTGAAGTTTAAATATAAGAATATATCCTTTTCCCACAAAACAAGCTCGGTGCAGCACTAATCACGACAGGGGAACCGACCCTCCACCCCCCATCGCCAACTCACGAAGCATGTGAACTGGACGGTGATGGGCCGACTGAGCACCCCTGACACACAATACAGTGGAACGTGTTTGTTGGTATCTCTTTGGCGATCGGCGATGATCATCAGCAAAAGCTGTAATCAGTACAATGATATTATGTTTATCAACTCCCTCAACCTGATAATTGTTTTTTTTAATCCTTTCCTTTTGTTTTTGTGTGCTTCCTGCAGCCAGCACCAACCCCTGCATCAACGGAATGAACAACTGTGTTGAAAATGCTGCTTGCGTGCTGATTAACCCCATGTTCAATATCTTCGTGTGCGTCTGTGAAATTGGATTCGAAGGTGTTGGGACCGTGGAGTGCGCAAGTAAGTTGACATGTGTGGAAGGAGTCCTATAATAAATGGTACCGAGAAACTTGTCTGTGTCCGTTTTAGTCTACTTCTGTTGGAGCCTTCAGAATGTGGTCCATATGTACAGGCGAGGTGTGACTTTGCTATTGCCTCAGTATGTGGGTGCATAGCAACCCACTCATGTCGTATGCAGGTGTGACCTTTTCTTCGCCACCAGTTGTCACCCTACCCCCAATAGCCAAATCAATCAGTTTCACTGCCTATATCACCTTGCTGTGAGTAAGACCGCTTGAAACGTGCTTGGATCCATACAAAAACTGGATCCAAGTGGATCCAGTTTTCGAATTTTTCATTATTTTTGAAATTTTTGCTATGCTGTGACGTAGCACTTTCAAGCCCTGTGAATATGTGGGGGCCTTATGAGAGTGATCACCTTGGCCAGCTTTACTGTGGTAATATCACTGGTGATACTGATACTGGCTGGTAGTATACTGGTGTTATTTTGTGTGGCAGTGTCCTTAGGGATCATCGCAGACGTTGGTGTCATTGCAAAACAGCGTCCCCTCTTTCTTTCACTCTTGTGATGTTTAGTATTCAATGAGGAAAGATGCAAACGGGAAAAGTCTGAAGAACAAATTGGTCGCAGTCTTCATTTTTTTTAAAGACTTTCCTCACCTCATAGATGATGTTCGCTGTCTCTGCCCCTCTACCTCTACGTCACCCCCCCCCCCCCGATGGTGCGAGCTGTATACTAGTGTCTTAGTGTTGAGACCTTTGGCCGGGGGAGTACACCGCACATCACCAGTGCAGCTCAAGCAGCACTTTCACATCCATTGTTGTAGGTTTCGTCACTCTTGTTTGGTCATTCCTCTGTTCGTGAGTATGGGCACCGCAGTAAAACAATACAGCCATGCCACAACCAAGTCATTACAGTAAAACCTGTCAAGTCGACCACCTGTCCCAGAAGACCACTGCAACCAGGACCAAGGGGTGCTATTTCCAGTCAAATGGCAGTGGATAAGGAAACCACCTGGTTACAGAGACCACACTTTGAAAGTCCCTTGAGCGGTCGTCTTAGGCAGGTTTCACTGTATTTGCCATTACTTCTACATGTGAGTTTGTGCACATCTGTCTAGCAATGCAGACATGGGATAGATAGATAGCTAAGGAGTAAGAGAGGGCGAGAGAGAGAGAGAGAGAGAGAGAGAGAGAGAGAGAGAGAAAGAAAGAGTTACACAGTCGAGAAATCGAGAGAGGGACAGAGGAGGACAGAGGGACAGTCATAGAAACACAGACAGAAAGACAAACAAAGGGAGATATTGACAGACAAATGCAAGCAAACGGAAAGGTACAGAGATAGAGAGAGAGGCAGGATCACAGGCTGACTGAGGGAAACTGTGTGTGAATGCGTATGGGCGTGTGTGTGTGTGTGTGTGTGTGTGTGTGTGTGTGTGTGTGTGCGTGTGCATGTGTGCGCGTGTGCGCGTGTGTGTGTGTGTGACCTCTACAGATGTGAATGAATGTGACGACACACCATGCGATGACAATGCATTCTGCTCGGACACGGTGGGATCATTCACCTGCGCTTGCCAACCAGGCTATGAAGGCGATGGATTTGACTGTCTGGGTAAGAGGGATGTTGGACTGGGAAAATATTCATATCGCCTCCTCAATCGTTTATAATCAGAGGCATTGGAGACCCTATGTTGTTGCTGTATACTGTATTTATAGTGGGCATCAAAACAGGCATATATCTAATAACAATGGACACACTGTGAATAAAATTTTAAAGGATGCCCTATTGTATTTCAATCCAGAGCAGGCTGCGTCACCATGTATTACAGTACAGATTATACTGGAACGTTCAGAGATCTTTACAATGTGCTGAAAAAGATTGGGTGACCTTCTTTATAAAAAGTAAAAGGGACCAAGGAACTACGAGTCACACTATAATGTCCACTAACACCACCAGTTACTAAACAATCAGCTCATGCGAATTAAAATCCTTGGCTCTCCATCCGAGTTCATTCTGGTGACCCTCTTTGTTGTCGTTTCTGCCACAGAGATCAATGAATGTGCAATTGGAACTCACGACTGCCTGCCTCAGGCTGCATGCGTCAACACTGATGGGAGCTTCATCTGCGACTGCGGGTTAGGATTTCTGGGCAATGGCGTCGACCAGTGCGTAGGTATGAGCAATGAATGGTTTGCTCTACTTCAAGTATATGTCATGCTGGGTTGTGGAATTAGTGAAAGGCATGTTGGAATTCGATTCATCATAATTTCCAACTGTATGTTGGTACGCTCTTGGAAACTTGCCGGATGACTGAACGTAGAATAAGCCATATGCTCTTGGTTTGGTTTGCTGTAAAATCAGAAAGCAACGGGGGCACCCATACGATTTAGTTCATGAAAAGAAGGTTATTGGAAGTATGGCAAGTGCTTATGGAAATATTGATATCTCGCCTGAAACTTGTACTGAAGTACTAGTATTCATTCGTTTCATTCCATCCTATTGGTCTCGAAAAATATGATAACAACGCACAAAAAATGAAAGTGCATCTTTCCCTAAAACCAGTGAATAGGTGACAATGACAATCAATTTGAACAAACGGCGAGGATACAACAAACTTAGAATCGAAATCAGGAGAACAAGTTCATATCGCACCGTATATTTTATTTTAGTTTCACGTTTCGCGTGAGACTCGGCCGGAAACTGAGTTTTCCGCATCCGTGGGAATGCCACCACCCTTCAAGGATCAAGGCGCAGATGTATATTTTATTTGAATTCGCAAATCCAAACGAACACAAAATGCTCAATGACAAGGCAGCGAATGCGTTATAGTGATACAGGGAAGGAGTGTCGGGGAGAAAATAATGAGAAAGAAGAGAGAATGGTAGATATCTCAATGAAGAGCGAAATGTTATCAAAACGAGGAAAGCCAGCAAACGACAGTTCTGTAACCCGCCTAGTACGATATTCCTAGGACTAAGTACTAACTGCAAACAAGAGTACATAACCCAAGTTGACGTGCATGTGTTTTGTCCATCTTGACATGCAATTTGCTTGACGTTTTTTCTTCTCAGATATCAACGAATGTGATCAGGACCCTTTCCCGTGTGACGACAATGCTTTCTGCACCAACACTTTCGGCAGTTTCCAGTGCAGGTGCCAAGATGGTTTCCGCGGCGATGGGTTCACGTTCTGCGATGGTGAGAGGCCGCGCAACAAGAGACTGCATGTACATTATTCTAATGATGCGTGCCTGTGCACCTGTATGCAGAGTTGGAGCCGGTTGGAACTGATCACCTATGCATCGAGAAAGACAATGTCACCAAACTTAGAACATTCACTTATCATTCAAACACACACACGCACGCACACACACACACACACACACACACACACACACACACACACACGCATGCACGTACATAAAACACTCTACACTCTCTTGAACTATTATGGACCGGTCACCCCAACTTCAAGTTTAACGTACATTATAATGTCCCGTTTCAAGAGAAGTCCAGGGAAACACGTAGACAGTGAAACCTCGTTAGGAAGAACACTGATAAGACAAATGTTTGCTTTAAAAGAAGAACTAGTATTCGTAACTCCATCACTGTGTATTCACTGGGTATAACATACGGATAAGAAGAACTCCCGTTATTGCGAACAAATATCATCGGTCCCTTGGTGTGTAGTAGCTGGCCCTCGGAGACAATTTCACACACTCAAACAAAGCACTCACTTTGTGGTTTCACGAATACTCGTTAGGACAGAATTATTAGTTACACACTCGGCAAGTAAAGATAAGAAGTGAAAAGAGCACAAGAAAAGAACAATGCAAGAAGACAAAACACGCGGCGAACGGCAGCCATGTTTTTAGGTCATCAACCAATCAGTAATTTATATAAACCGGTTGCCGACGAAATTCTAGAATATTCCAGAGCTGTGAACTGTGATTGGTTAATTATGCCAATGTTCTAGAACAATAACACTAGCAGCAGTCATACGGGTAAATACGGGTTTAGCCATACACGACTCATACATTACTCACGAGCGACTCACGGAAAGGGTAATAACATGCAGATACAAAATACGCAAGGAGAGAAAAAATGTAACTAACTGCCCATCTTGGGGTTTGAACCTAGGAATCTGTATCAACACAAGCTCTACAAATTAATACTCTTTTACTCCGAAAAATATAGTTTCTATTAAAATGCAACTCCTACAGGTGTTCGTCCTAAAGAGGTTTGACTGTAGGTGCATTCTATAGGGGGTAAATACTTAACAGTATACGATGAACACGGACAACATCTAATGGGATACGGCCTCTGATTTCACCTTACCTTTGGTTGATGTATACTTCTGTCTTGTCCTGCCTGGCGCAGAGATCAACGAATGCGTTGAGGGACTTGATAACTGTGGCCAGGACCAGGGTCGTGGCCTGTGCCTGAACGTCGAGGGATCATTCGCCTGCGTGTGCTTCACTGGATTTGTGGCAGCAATGGGCGGCACGGCATGCCTAGGTGAGCAAAGCAATCATTATTATGTCTTCTTATTGACGCAATGCTCCATAGTTTCGTAGAGGTTAATCCGTAGAGAGCGGTGGCGCTCCTGCAAATGCGGAAACTCGGTCTCAAGCTGAGTCCACGCAAAACGTGTTTTTTACGCAATATGAGTGGGGGGAGGGGATCCACAGCATGGCTTGAACACTGCGTGGGGCAACTCGACTGATAAACAGCGTCTTGTCTGGGTATCAACACGTTACACGTCGTTTATGACATTCATCCATGCACTCGAGGCACACTCCTCCCAAGATTAGTCCACGCCGCTACTCTACATGATTGTATGTCCGGATGTTCCTGAACAGAGAGGAACAAACTTAGTACTCCAGGATTACTGACAATTCACCGCTCAAGAGTCCACTGACGGTATTCGTACTCGCAATTCACCAAATTGCTGCGTAGTACTACAAAAGGGGAGCCTGAGATTGCAGATAACAATTCTAACATCGGCTAGCTGCTGGAAGCCACATCTTTTTGAATGTTCTTGCTCCACTTACAGATCTAAACGAGTGCTTGCGGACGCCATTTCCGTGCGACGACAATGCATTCTGCACGAACAATGTGGGATCATTCAGTTGCCGATGTCAACCAGGCTACAGAGGCGACGGATTCAACTGCCAACGTAAGACCTTTTCATCATTGAACAATATTATTTTAATAATACAATGAATAAAACTATTATGTGCACTCATATCACAACCATAACTATGAATAGAGTATTCCAGAACGTTTTCTTGTCACAATAGAGAGGTTCCGCACCACGTTAAGTTGAGCAACTTTACGTTAGTGGGCGGGGAAAACCCGTGAATTCGCGAGTTTGCACTCCACTTACGGAACGTTGTCTACGTAGAGTACGTAGATAGGGCTCTGATAACGTAGCTGGTCCGTAAGTGGATTGGGATACAAATTTATGACTCTCTCCCCATATCGATCTGGTCGTACACTGCCGCGTTTGGAGTTGCCAAGGGCAGCTACGTGATTTGAAAACTCCGTATGGCGGAACACAGATGCGCATGCAGTTTACGTAAGACTTTCCGCAGATCGACTATGCTTTTTACTAACGTGATTACGTTATGCGGAACCTCTCTAATTATCAATGGAATTCGCGACTAAGAGAATGATGAAACTACTATAGGATTTATACACTTCGCGTGAAAAAAAAAGAGGATACAAGAATACGAAATAGTGGAGTCGAAGGTTCGATGGACTTCGCGTGTGCTCTGGATGGCAGCCGTGAGTCAGTCAAATGTCAAGTCAAGTCGGCGGAGTAGCGCGAGCTCCAGTGTGGGGAGCAAACCTTTTGTTACAAGAATAGTAAGAAAAATAGCACATACTTCGGAAAAAATTGCACTGATGATAAAATCTATACAGGTGAGAAATGATGGGAACTTCAGCTAGTGCAATTTGCCAATGTACATGCATGTGCAAGTGTGTGTGAGTGCGAATTTACTGCAAGAGTGTAAGTGCGGTGAGATTTTCTATGGTGGTGATATGAGTGCACATGTAGTTTTATTCATTGCATTGTTTTAAAAGATTATTGTCTCCACGTCGCTTTTGAACAAAATGTATATGTACATATTCATGCGCTACGGAGTATAGAGATTCAGCCATGCATAGCGATGGATATCCGTATGAAGTCTAATTGAAGGAAGGGTCGTTACAGAATATATCCGTGAATCTATCCGTGAATATTCCGTAATCCAGATTGATTTATGCTGTGCGTCTCTCTCCATGCAGAGATTGACGAGTGTGCTGAAAACCTGGATAACTGTGACGCCAACGCAGCGTGCATCGACACAGATGGTAGCTTCATCTGTTCCTGCAATCCGCCATTAATCGGTGACGGACGCACATGTTCAGGTAACTGATAAATCTTCTCAGTGATCGAAGTCATTATCCCTAACCTATTGAGGCCGAATCAGGCCATACCTGATTCTCAATGGCTAAGGAAGTGTATAGATAACCTTGAAATCATTATCAGAAGAGTTTCCAGAGGAACCATGAAGTTGAAGACTACTGCAGCTCCACTCCATCTGTACTTATGGCTGATTTATGTCAATTTTATGGTAGTAAATACACAAAGGTGCATTTAACACCATTGTTTCTACAGGACGCCGCATAAAAGGTCAGGTAGAGCTGTGAAAAGTTTGGATCCCGCAGATATCACCGGACAACATGAAAACATCTCCAGAATCTCTATCTCTCCTCTCTCTGTCTATCTCTCTCTCTCTCTCTCTCTCTGTCTCTCTCTCCCTCTCTCTGTCGGTGTCTCTGTCTCTTTCTCTCTCTATCTGTCTGTCTGTCTGTCTCTCTGTGTGTCCCTCTGTCTCTCTGTCTCTCTGTCTGTCTCTCTGTCTCTCTCTGTCTGTCTCTCTCTGTCTCTCTCTGTATCTCCCTGTCTCTTTCTGTCTCTCTCTCTGTCTCTCTCTGTCTCTCTCTGTCTCTCTGTCTCTCTCTTTATCTATCTCTCTCTCTTTCTCTCCCTCTCTCTCTTTCTCTATCTCTCTCTCTATCTCTTTCTCTTTTTCTCTTGGATTGGATTTTTGGATTGGATTTATATTTATATTGGTGACTATAACAGACAATTGCCTAATAACAATAGACCCACTCGAGGGAAAGATGCTCTCTCTTTCTCTCTCTCTCTCTCTCTCTCTCTCTCTCTCTCTCTCTCTCTCTCTCTCTCTCTCTCTCTCTCTCTCTCTCTCTCTCTCTCTCTCTCTCTCTCTCTCTCTCTCTCTCTCTCTCTCTCTCTCTCTCTCTCTCTCTCTCTCTCTCTCTCTCTCTCTCTCTCTCTCTCTGTCTCTCTCTCTGTGTCTGTCTCTCTGTGTCTCTGGCTCTCGCTCTCTCACTATTTCTCTTTATAGTGTAAGGCGATGCCTCACTTGTGTGAACCATTGAAAGAGTGCCCTGTCATAGGAGAAAACGGGCTGTATGGATTCCTAGTTAACGAATAATGACAATACATACTTTCATCTACTCCTAAAAGCTGGGCAGACTACACCATATTTCCTTTTTTCCTTCAGGACTCATAGGTAGGGTTGTGTTTAACGTAAGCAATTTTCAAGCCAGTGCTAACCTTTGTTTCCTGTTGTCCATTGTCGACTTTGTCCTGCAGCTGGCTCTCAAAGTGACAATGATGGCAGCGTGAGCGACGGTGGGGATGGAAGCGTGTCCAATTCATAGGAGCTCTGGAGTGCTATGCAGCAATGCTCCAGCGTTGGCAACTAGCACTCTCTGCTTTCGGCCCGGATATCTGACCACCACTAACGATCTTCACATGCTTGTAATCAAGAGTACATACCCCGGGGTTATGTACTCTTGTTCTAATGCGTTATACTCGCTGATCTCACTTGGGAGCACTATGTGCGCAAAGACATAAACGAACAATGTATGCATACGTTGATTTGCCTCGTTTTCTAGGTTTCTTGATCGCGCGAGCTGATGTGGGCAATATAGGCTAAAGATCTTGAGAATAATTCTCAATCATAAGTTGCGTATCTCCCGTCACACCGGGAAAGCTGCTGCATGTAGAAGATCCCTATAATTATTATAGTAGAGCTAGTTGGAACCTTTTCTTCTTCTTTTTCTATTAACTTTAGTGTTATGAGCACCGGCCAACTGGGAAACATGTGGAAAGGAACAACAGAAAGACAGGACAAAACGTTGGCATGGAGTAGGCTGACCTCGGAGGTTTTCATCCTTTAGGTGCCTGATCAATGCCATATGGTCATGAAACGCCGAGGTGCACAAAAGGACCCGGCCTCCTCATCATAGCCCCCCCCCCCCCCACACACACACACAATGGTTGCCTCTTTGCTTTGTCATACCACAACCGGCATCCAACGCGGTGAACCCCTCGATAGGCGATTTGCCTTTGGGTCATCCTAATCAAGTTATTATAGGCAAGTTACAAGGTTCTAGTCTTGGCTGTCAGCGTTGATAAAATGTTTAGTTTTCCTTTTTCTATTCTTCCAGAGCCTGACCGTATTGTAAACTGTCTATATTCACAAATAAAGGAACACCTTGGCTAGGCGAAACAGGACACATGCCTGCGCAGGCTGCTTGGTGGGACAACCTCCCATCCTTGTTTCACTTCTTTTGTCGTTTATGTGATAACGACACATGTACGTGTAAAGCGGAATCATACATATTCACATGTGTCTCTGCATCACGAGTGCCCAACTCGCGTCGCTTGAGAATCACAACTCTGCTCCCTTTTCGCGTTTGTTCTCGCTAGTCTACCTTCCGCTGCCTATTCGCTGCTGAACAGTGGAGCAAGGTACATGTATATCTGTTGCAGTCTTGCTTTGTCATTCACCACCAACAAGTACAAGTACACTCATACCTCGGTTATCCGGACCCCGAAGTTACGGGTACTTCGGTCTACCGGGCACCCTGGGGGCAAGTTTCAGTGGAAATATTACTACTCCTTTGTCACTTTGTGTGGAAAAAGTGACGTCACATGCCATGTTCTGTGCACACTTGTGCACTTTCCCCATCAAGATGTATATGATTCGGAGTTACGGACATTTCAAAGTTACGGGCAGTGCAAGGTCCCGGACTGCCCGGATAAACGAGGTATGAGTGTACATGACTGAATGTGTACCTATGTGCCTGTACTGGGGTTGCCCTGGTTCGGTTGTTGGAATTTGACACGAAGTGCAACCAGACCAGACCAGATCCGATTACCGTACTCGCGCGATTAGTGCCCCTGGTGCACTATTTTTTCAATGTCCATCACAGATGGGGCAGTATTCAAGAGAGGGCACTATTTTTTCATTGCGTCATCCAGCGTATTAATGAAAACAAAGAAAAACAGAGTCTAAAGTGTACTGTAAACGCTCACGACTCCACAGAAACGGGAACAAGACTTGCGATTTTGTTCCTGAAAACACCAGTGCAAAGCAATGGCCAAGAACATTAGCAAAAGAACACTAAACTTGCACGTGAGCGTGGTTACAAGACCGAGGGAGGGGGGACTATTCAAGAAAGGGCTATCTTTTTCATTGGCTCTTGGAGACTAGGGCACTATTCAAGAGAGGGCTCTAATCACGCGATTACGGTACGTGTACATCACTTCATTGTGCTTGTATTTGTTTACGTCCAGCAGCACTCGTGCCACATCCAACAACAACAACAACAACAACAACAACAACAACAACAACAACAACAACAACAACAACAACAACAACAACACTGATCTATATTTCATTAATTTAAAAATAATTTATGGGCCACAGGCCATCGTGTTAATAAAGATTTGAACAACAATAAAAATAAATGAACAACAACCTCTCCCATACTTGTAGAATTCAAAGCGACGTAAATTACTTTCCAACTCCATAACCGGCAGCCCCACCCACAGCATCTCACCTTCACATGTACAGTGCTGTTGAAGACCATACAGCACAGCTGGCACGGACCCTTCTCTGCAGCCCCACTGGCGTTCAAACTCTGAATGCTCTGGCCAAGCACAGCTTTCACCATGCCACGCGCCAGCCATTAATTTACGTCCAAACACCGAGAAAAGACAGAGGTGACGGCTAATGTGATTACTACTAGTAATAATCATGGCGCATGTACATCCTCCTGGGGACGACTACATTGTAGTATGGAGTGGAAACTTTGCAGTGCTCTTGCGCCTCTTAATACATGTCTAGCATGCCTGAATAGAGCTGTCTGCATAGCTTTCTATTCAAAACAAATCTACATAATATGGAAAGTAAGAAAGCACCAAGGAACTACAAGTTACGCTATAGTGTCCACTAACATCACCAGCTACTAAACAATCAGCTCATGCGATAACATTGCACGATACTGACCGACTGTATTGACGTTCTACAACCAACTAGCTAACTGCTCTAGCACATCTTGGATGTGCACTACAACAGCCTTCCAACTTGGAAGGTTTTAAGTTATCGAAATAACATAAGGAGGGGAAGGTGAGCGCAACCAAGATAAGCTCGAGCTGAAAGTCTCAGCTGTGAAGGACGTTGGCGGATGTTCATGCATGTCGATGACGATACTGGCAAGACCATTGGACAATACGGTCAAACCACGATTCAAGGACGCAAAGCAGCATTGCACACAACGTGCGTGGCTCAAAAGATGCAAAGATCAAGAAAAGGGGAAGCTATGCGAACAAGAATCATGCAAAACCGAACTGTTGCACTCACCTTCCCCTCCTTATGTTATTTCTATAACTTAGAACCTTCCAAGTTGGAAGGCTGTTGGAGTGCGCATCCAAGATGTGCTAAAGCTGTTAGCCAGTTAGTTGTAGAACGTCAGTACCGTCGGTCAGTATCGTGCAATGTTATCGCATGAGCTGATTGTTTAATAACTGGTGGTGTTAGTGGACATTACAGTGAAACTTGTAGTTCCTTGGTCCTTTTTACTTTTTATAAATAATCCTTGGCTCTCCATCCGAGTCCATCATAATAATTGATGATGGAAATTGGTATGATTATAATTAAAGTCGGATGGAGAGCCAATTATGAAAATTGAAAAAGAGAGAACCAAAAGTTTTCAATTATCCGTTTTGTCCAACACTAAAGATGCGCAACAATTAGCACAAAACTGACTGATGTGATACTGACATTGAACGACCTGATGCTTTGCTGCTTCACGTCTGGAATGCGCAAACCAACAGCCTTCCAACTTGTAAGGTTCTAAGTTATGAAATGACGTAGGAAAGGGGAGGGAAGGTGGGCGCACTCACATCACGGCGAACTAAGCGAACAGTGAAATATCCTGCTTATATTCTTTAGTATTGGACAAAACGGATAACTAGCAAACTTATAGTCCTCTTTTTTATTATAATTATACAAACAACGAGAACAATCAAGGCTTCCTTGTTGCTACCGTTCAAGTTTCATGCTTTCGCAATCATCAGGCAACAGCTGCGTGATGATTGCGAGAGCATGAAACTTGTAGTAGCAGCAAACAAGCCTTGATTGTCCTTGTTGTTTTGTATTACGCTCTGCCTCCGCCGTGGTGTTGAGCACTGTCAGCACACTGGGTACATCCTTTGCTAGTATAATTATAGTCTCAGTGTATCTCAAGACACACCCCCCTTACGTAGAATCTACCACGCAATAGAGAACCAGGCCTGGTCTACACTGTAAGCACTATACGTTTGGCATAGTGGTGATCATAGTGGTGATCATAGTGGTGATCATAGTTCGACACATTCAACCGGGCATCTGCCTTGAAACCAAGCAGACAGATTCCACTTTGAGTCTTCAAAAATTGTGTACATAGTGTCGAGAACACCACTCACAGGAAACACTGCCAGGAGTTAAAAACACATCCAATCAATGGTCATGCCAAGAGGAGGGATGATTCCTGCAACCCTCCTCACCCATCCGTCCACATGCCGCTCTTCCCTTTTATTTTCATTTATTTTTATTTTTACTGGGAACACAGCCTTACAAAGAGACATGTGGAGACACACACGATGTAGGGACGTCGTGCCGATGTACAGGGAGCAACTCGACCGACCAGAGGTCTCGGCGTTAGCGTTGCAACCTGGCATCGAAAAAGGGAGGGGGGGGGGTTGCAGGGTCAAGTAGCAAAAATAATAATTTGGTGCGAGAAAGGGGAACTAATATTGCACCAAATAATATAAATACATGTAGTAACTGAATCGGATCCTACTGATGGTTGATAAATATGGTGGTAAAGACACACCTGGCAATATAGCGGTAAACACACGCCTGCCCACACACGCCCTCTAGGCTGCAAAGTTCTGGCACAGAGCTCTCCTTCTCACCACCACCACGAAAATCAGTTCGCGCCTGGCGCCTGGTCGATGCATGGTTGGCGGTATCCGACATAGCAGGTTGGTACATCAAGTAGCGCATGGCACATAGAAGATGACACAGCAACGACATAGCCCGATTGCGACGCACGTTTCGTCCCCGGTGGACTCATCAGGCGATCTTCTTCTTGGATGTCTTCATACGGAGCTTGACTCGGGAGAATGAAGTTGAAGACACCACTGCAGCTGTACTTATGGTTGATAACATAATTATGGTGGATCCTACTGAAACCGCTTATCGCCTTCCTCGCACACAAGCGCGCCGCGCACACATAAACACAAGCACAATCAAACTGTCACACTCACACATGTACTTGCTCACTGCCCAACCTGGACACATTGGTGCCAGCAGGAGAGGCCCTGATAACAGATAAGGATTATTGGAAAGGTGATTGGACCGGAGGATGCACCCAGTGTGCTAACAGTGCTCACCCCCGCAAAGGCAGCGCGTAATACACAGAACAACAAGGACAATCATGGCTTGTTTGCTGCTACTTCGGCATCATCAAGCAAGTTGCCTCATGATTGCGAGAGCATGAAACTTGAAATAGCAGAAAACAAGCTTTGATTGTCCTTGTTGTTTTGTGTTTGTGTTTGTTTTGCTCTGGAAAGATGATTGGATAAAATGAGAGGACACAATGTTACGAGTTACGACTAACTGTCTACCAACGTAACCAGATCTTGTACAGTCAGCGAGTGCGACAAAATGGCACAAAACTGACAAGGAGTACTGAGACATTCAACGACCTGACACCTAGCTCCAAGATGTGTTGGATCTAGGTGTCAGGTCGTTGAATGCTCGCTGACTGTACAAGATCTGGTTACGTTGGTGGACAGTTTTTCATAACTCGTAACATTGTGTCCTCTCATTTTATATATGAATACTTTGCCTCAACATCCGAGTTTAAATTTGGCAAGATGATTCGATGTCATATTGACCCACCCAACTCCGGACACCCCGCGAAATCCCCAGATTCTGGGTTGATTTGGAAATGATCTCACTTATGGGCTCAAATCCCAGTAATCGGGTGGGATTACGGATTGACGGCATCTGGGTATCCGTCCCGGGATCCAAGTGCTTGCCCCCATTGAAGATAATACTTGCTACAAGACTTCCTGTTGGTGCGGTTAATTCAGAATTGATCTGATAATTACCAATGATTACACTGTCAAAACCAACAAAGGTGCCAGGAACCACATTACACCTTCAAG